GTCAGCAATAGTACCTCATGGGTGACGAAGAAACCTATTATGTTACCTTCTAATTATAAAAATTAATTATAAAAATATAAGAAAAAAAAATATATATACTTATACAAGTATATATTTGTACATGTTTGTGCGAAATATTACATACATATAGTTGTATCGATACATTTATTTTTCAGCCTTTGAGGTACGTTAAAGGAACGCGTTGTCAACGTTAACACGTTATTCTATCTTTATCGCTCATTGCATGTACAAGGATTGAATGACGCGTTAGCGCTGATCGACGCACTCCCCGAACGTATATTTAGTAGGCACCACATAGATACGCCTTATGATCTCAACGGTCCTGAGGTCGCGAGCCACAACCGTCAGTTTCTGGATCCGCCGCGCGATAAGGGGAGATAGAAGGCGTAGCTTCTGAAAATCGGCTGAAAGTTGTAAACTTTGCCAAACTCTGCTTTAAGTAATCAAGAGGTTATTCCAGACTTTAGTACGTGAAGCATAAGACAAATAATTATAAAAGAATTTCTCCGCGATGCAATACATTGGCTACCATATTCCCCTGAGGAGAATAAAGACTAGAGAAAGAGAAAGAGAGAAAGAGGGATAGAAAGAGAGAGAGGAAGAGAGTGAGAAAGAGTGAGAATGAGAGTGAGAGAGAGAGAGAGAGAAAGAGAAGAAGGGAAAGAGAGAACAACGCACTTAGTGTAACAAAATTTAGTTGTTTTGTCAAAGATTAAATATTTTAAAAATATAATAGTTAATAATATAAGTGAATAAATAAAATATTTAAAAATAAAAAATCTTACATAGATCTGATTTTTATTTATTTACAATATTTTAAGTAGAATTTTTTAACTTATTACATTAATCCATTAACGCCTGAATAACACAAAATTTTTCTCCAACTTAGAGCTAACAGATTTTAATGAAATCGCCAATAATTCTTTTTGGGGATAATTTTTCTAAGGGTTTCCGGGTCCGTTCTTTACGATCTGACCATTTAGAAAACCCAAAAATATCAATTTTTATTGTTTTTTGACAAATTTAGACAAAACATCGCGTTTTTTTAGCCTCTTTTTTACGAAAATCACTGATTTCTTATAGAAAAAATTTTTGTTTTACACCGGAAATTGCACAGATTGTGTTATTAACATTTGTACTTTAAAAATATGTAGTTTTCTTTCCCAATTTTTCTTTTCAATATGGCAGACTCAAAATTGCAGCCGAAATTGCGAATTTTCTTTTATATTGAGGTTTTTTCACTTTATAATGCTGATTTATTCAATCTACATACTAAGTAAGGCTTCTACAGGTTTCTTTCGATGTTGTTAGAAGATTTTTGAACGTACAGGCAAGATTGAAGAGACGAAGTGGCGGCTGTCGGGTCATGGTGAATAATACTTTCGTGAAAGGAAAGAACCGGACAGATCGCACATAAAAACAATATGTATTTTGTAGGGCTTTTAGGGTCACTGAATTCAATACCAGTGTCAGATTTTTAAAATTCAAAATAGCGGATCCAATATGGCGGACCAAACATCGAAAAATTCTAAATCTCGAATAAAAAAAATTGTGTCATATTCTATGTAAAATCTAGAGTAACAGTTGTCTCTTGACGTTTTTCAATTTAATGCAAAGTTTCCGAAAAAAAATTCATGAATGTTTCAAATTTTTAGGGTCGCACGAAAGAGCTTAATCCTTGTATGCGTGTGTGTGTGTGTGAAGGAATCCAGCAGCATGTCTTACTTTACCATTTTATGTTCTATGCAGCATTGACACAAAAAACTATAAAAAAATGTTATCGTATTCTATGTAAAATTTGCAGTAAAAGATATTTCTCAAAAAATAATGACTATAGACCAAAATTTTTTTTCTTTCAAAATTTTGATTTCCTCGATTTTCGATCTGCGATATTAGATCAGCCGTTTTCAGTTTTGAAAATCTGATATCAAATTAGAGTTTAGCGACCCCGAAAATCTTTCAGAATATGTTTTCAGAGTATTCAGAGTATTCATTGTTGGATTCCTTCACACACATACGCACACAAGGATCAAGCTCTTTCGTGCGACCCTAAAAATCTAAAACATTCATGAATTTTTTATGCGGAGACTTTGCGTTAAATTGAAAAATGTCTAGAGACAACTGTTACTCTAGATTTTATATAGAATATGACACAACTTTTTTACTCGAAATTTAGAATTTTTCGATGTTTGGTTCCCCATATTGGATCCGCTATTTTGAATTTTAAAAATCTGACACCGGTATTGAATTCAGTGACCCTAAAAACCCTACAAAATACATATTGTGATCTGTTCGGTTCCTTCTATTCACGAAAGTATTATTCACCATGACCCGACAGCCGCCACTTCGTCTCTTCAATCTTGCCTGTACGTTCAAAAATCTTCTAACAACATCGAAAGAAACCTGTAGAAGCCTAACTTAGTATGTAGATTGAATAAATCAGCATTATAAAGTGAAAAAACCTCAATATAAAAGAAAATTCGCGATTTCGGCTGTAACTTTGAGTCTGCCATATTGAAAAAAAAAATTGGGAAAGGAAACTACTCACATATTTTTAAAGTACAGATGTTAATAACACAATCTGTGCAGTTTCCGGTATAAAACAAAAATTTTTTTATAAGAAATCAGTGATTTTCGTAAAAAGAGGCTGAGAAAAACACGACTTTTGTCTAAATTTGTCAAAAAACAATAAAAACAATAAAAATTGATATTTGTAAGTTTTCTAAATGGTCAGATCGTAAAGAGCGGACCCGGAAATCCTTAGAAAAATTATCCCCAAAAAGAATTATTGGCGATTTCATTAAAATCTGTTAGCTCCAAGTTGGCGAAAAATGTTGTTTTCGAGCGTTAATGAGTTAATGTTTGCTGATTACAATTTAATGTTTGTTGATTTATTTTAATTTGCTCAGACGCTTTTATTAATTTATATTACTTATTAATTTATTATATTAATTTATTTTACAGGTTCAATACTCAATTCAATATTTTTATCAATTATATTACAATATTATATTATACAGGAACGTCCTTGATCTTATACTCTACTTGTTGTATATCCGAGATATTCCAAATGATAGTTATGCTTTGATCGCTACATTTACTAATGACAGTGCAATTTTAACAGTTGAAAATATTGATAATGCCACAAGCAAATTACAGAATACATTAGATAAAGTACAGAGTACATTAAATAAAGAGCCTAGACCAAACGCTGATGCATTAAATGAGATAAAATCCACTCATATTAATTTTACTTGCAGAAAAATAAACTATTCCTATTTTAATCCATGAAAAAATTATACTGTACGAGAATATAGTCAAGTACCTAAAAATGACTATGAATATTAACAAGTAAGTTGTAAGTTAAAATGGAAGAAAACGTCAAAGAGAAAAAAGGACTCAATGTAAAAAAAGAAAAATTATACTGGCTCCTCGGACGTAATTCTGAATTATTGATATAAAATAAATTATTAATTTATAAACAGATATTCAAACTTATATGGATATACGGTATCCAATTACGAAATTACACAAAGATAACTAACATAAATATAATTCAAACTTTTCAGAATAGAGTACTACGTGGAATAGTTAATGCTCCATAGTACATACATAATATTGACATACATCGGGATATACATATCAATATGGTGACTAATCAAATCAATCAAACATAAATTCTTCAAGACCATAAAAACCCCAAAATGGAAACTGTGTTAGATAATTTACGAATATAATACATGCTGGCTTAAAAAGACTAAACTTTATGAAAATTCTTTGGTCGAGTTAACATAAATGCCGTAAAATTGTTAAGGGATTTTATTTACTAATAATTTTTATACATGTATAATAATTAGACAGACAAATCATTAAACAATCATGTTTATAGATGTTCATAGATTAAGTATGATTTCTTGATAAAAAAGTTAAATTAAAAATTGAAATTTTAAAGAATTCCATGTAATATATGTTAATAAAACGCAATCTATATGTATTAATATTATGAGAATAATATTAGAAAATCGTCAAACATTTCATTTCACGAAAAATAGAAAATGAAAAATGTGTGGAACACACACTCTCATTAAAGTTAATTGACAAAAAAATTTCATTATCCTATTATTCAAGTTTTAAAACCATGATATAAAAATATATAGTCATTAAGCATTGAAAATTGTATTTCACGATTGTTTCATCTGTTCTCAACAATAATCGTTTTATTAATTCTTCATTCCTATCCTATCACAATGTAATAAATTTATTTTTGTTTGATTGATTTTATCTTCAGTTATATTATTAGAATTCTATTTATCATCTTCTTTATATCAAATATCTCAATTGATTATTTAACGTTTTAAGATTCGTCCGTTTAATAATTCAATGTAATTTCAAATATTCTGTATAAACCAAAGATTCTCCAAATATATAATTATAATCAAAACAAATGTAAAAAAATAAGAATTAGCACTGTTATTCGAATATTTATTCCAAAAAGTAAAGTCTGCTTTTTGCATACAAAATTTAAAATCTCTTTGAATCTTAATTTTTAAGCCCACTCTTTCCATTCTTCAGTAGGAATTACAAAATAATTAAAAGAGCTGAAAGTTATTTGCCTGTTATGGAATCTATTTACGAAAACTTAGAAATAAATTTATGATAGACATGATACCAACTTGAAGACCAAATCAAGTATAACCAATTTCTAAAATATTATTTTGTAAAATAAATCATAATTCTCACTAAAATATTTGTCAGTACGCTATTGAAAGATAAATGGAATACCAAAACGATCAAGTATGTCAAGTAAGGATAAAAGAACATTTAAATAATATATCATAGAACAGCTGCTAGACTAATTTACTACAAATAACTACAAATGACAATTTTAATAATTTTTAAATTAAATCCTCAATTGTGTACTGACAAATATTTTATTTTTAGTTATATTTATTTAAAAAATGTTTTGTTTTTATACTGTAATTTCCACTGATAAGTTAAAATGATAGAACTAAAACATTTGAGTGCAAAAAGTAATATTTTAGTATCAAACATTTGCTTGAACATTACATCACACATTACTTGTTCTTATTTGCATTTGTTTATCTAATAATATTTATTATCTATTGTTATTGAGCAGTTATTGCTTGAATAGTAGAATCACAGCAGTCACACATATGTTATTTTATGTAACTTGTCTAACAAATTTTTGTTTTCTACTTTTTCCTTCCTCTTAATTTTTGTAAGATTACTCCTCTTCCAATATTGTTTATTCTTATCGAGTCTAACTAATTTTATGATACCTACATAATTGCTCTTTTTTGTATTCCCATATCAAATATTAATATTGCATAACTATGACTATAAATTAAAAAGTTATACATAATAAAATAGTGCTAGGGGATAAGTGCTCTCTTCGGCCAAATTTCGAAGACGACGCCTGCTTTCCTCCTACTATTACTCTCGACTTGACGGTCGAGCCGCCGATTGCACGCAACAGCTTCCAGGAGAGTTCGCATATGAAAAATACGCTGAGGTCGTACTTTCCGCCAAATCGTCATTAGAACAAAGCCGTTATTAGAACATATGGGGCATTCCATATGAAGTGATACACCCAAATTTTCAAAGTTGTACGATTATGCTGAAATTTGCACAAATTGTAGTCCTATCACAACTAAGATTTTTGGCCAAATTGTTTGACTCACGACCAACGGGTTGTCTAGTAACAGAGGCTTGAAGTTTTAGCATTTGGGCCGTTGTGTCCAACTTCAAACGCCGGTAAGTTCCAGTAGACTATTCCGATTTTCAAAAACAAGGAGTGATTTCTAAAGGTCTTTTTGCGCCCTTTAATCCTATGAAATCAGTTTTGTTTTTAAGTCAAAATTTATTTAAAATTTTTGAAGGATAAGAAAGAAATTGTTTTTTTTCAAATTCAGACATCTTTGATTTTCTTCGAAAATATCTTTAAAAAAAGTAGAATTCTTGCCCTTTAAAATGATTCCAAGATCAAAGTGGGCAGACTTTTAGTTTTCAAAATACAGCTTGTTTTAGGACCGAGCGCGTCACGCACGGTGCAGCTCGGCCGCTGTTGCAAGTGCCACGGATGATCCGATCAGTTCTATTGCTTGTGGCCAGACGTAATGTGATCTGTGTCGTATATCATATATATATATATATATATATACATATATATACATATATATGATCAAGCCATTTACTATAATATACTACATGGGCTGAAAAGTCTTTGGCCTGACATATAGATGGCGCCACAAACTAAAAATCCTTATATTTTCTATACCAACCTTAACTTAGATGCTGTAAAAATTTCATGATATTTCGTTGACTTGTGTACAAGTTATAACTTTCGAAGTGACGTTACCTCTGAATTTATCTTTACTATGGAAAAAAGTGAATTTCGTGTTTTGATTAAACATTGCTTTCTGATGGGAAAAAACACTGTTGAAGCAAAGGCATGGCTTGATAAATGTTACGACACATCTACCCCACCGAATTTAACCATCAAATATTGGTATGCTGAGTTTCGTCGTAACCGTACAAGCACAAATGATGCACCACGCTCAGGAAGGCCAAATGAGGCAGTTACTCCAGAAAACATCCAGAAAATCAGTGAAATCGTGTTGAATGACCGCAAAATGAAATTGAGTGAGCTAGCTAACATCATAGGCATCTCAAAGGAACGCGTTGGTCATATCATTCATGAATATTTACACATGAAAAAGCTTTGCGCGCGTTGGGTGCCGCGTTTTTTGATAATTGAGCAAAAAGCGGAACGTGTTCGACTTTCAAAGCAAAATCTGGCCCTGTTTAATCGCAATAAGGAGTTTTTGCGGTGATTTGTCACAATGGATGAAACATGGATCCATCACTACACACCGGAGTCCAATCGGCAGTCAGCGGAGTGGTTATTGCCTGGTGAAAACCGTCCGAAGCGCCCGAAGACACAACAATCAGCCGGCAAGGTTTTGGCCAGTATTTTTTGGGATGCGCATAACATAATATTCATTGATTATCTTGAACATGGTAAAACTATCAATAAAGAATATTACTGTACATTACTGGATCGATTGGACGACGAAGTCAAGGTCAAACGGCTACATTTGGCAAAGAAAAAAATTTTGTTTCACCAAGACAATGCTCCAGCTCACTCGGCTCGCGATACGACCGATAAATTAAAGAAATTGCGCTATGAATTGGTCCCGTATCCCCCGTATTCTCCAGACCTGGCCCCCAGCGACTATTTCCTTTTTCCCCGACTGAAGCAGTGGCTCGCTGGTAAAAGATTTTACTCGAATGAGGAGGTCAAGTTGGACAAATGCCTATTTTGAGGGACGACACCGAGCACTATAAGACCGGCATCGAAATATTAGCGGACCGTTACACTAAGTGCATTATTCTAAATGGAGATTATGTCGAGGAATAAAACACTTTTTTCATTAAAAAAATCGTTTTTTCATTGTTAAGCCAAAGACTTTTCAGCCCATGTAGTACCATGGTATAAACACCAGCAGCTTCTCTTTTCTAGGCCTATTATCACATCTTGCTTAAGGATCACTTTTATTTTGATATCCTTATAACCACTGCGATCTTGCCTCCATTTCCTGGATCAACCACCAATCTTGCTTTCGTTTGTCGGATTACCCGCCGATCTTACCTTAGTTGGTTAGACATCTTATCATAAAAACCTCGATAACCTTGAAACGGCTGACCCAAAGTGAATATTATTATAGTATTTTGAAAGGGTCTGAACAAGAGGACTATAAGAATATGCAATAAAAGATGTAGGATTACATTTAAAAAATTCGAGGTAATTTTCACCTGACCTTGGCGACGCAACCCAAGGTCAAACTGATAAAGCTAATAAATAGTTTTAAGTCTTACAACTTTTATCTAAAACATTTTTCTTGTAAAACTTATATTTATTATTTATTATTTTTTTTTTATTTCTTTCCATTTTCTTTATTTTTTTTTATTTTTTTTATTTCTTATTTATTTTTTAAAATTTTTTTTTAATTTTCAAATTTATTTTTTTTATTTTTTTTATATTTTTTATATATGACACAGATCACATCACGTCTGGCCACAAGCAATAAAACTGATCGGATCATCCATGGCACTTGCAACAGCGGCCGAGCTGCACCGTGCGTGACGCGCTCGGTCCTAAAACAAGCTGAATTTTGAAAACTAAGTCTGCCCACTTTGATCTTGAAATCATTTTAAAGGGCAAGAATTCTACTTTTTTTAAAGATATTTTCGAAGAAAATCAAAGATGTCTGAATTTGAGAAAAAACAATTTCTTTCTTATCCTTCAAAAATTTTAAATAAATTTTGACTTAAAAACAAAACTGATTTCATAGGATTAAAGGGCGCAAAAAGACCTTTAGAAATCACTCCTTGTTTTTGAAAATCGGAATAGTCTACTGGAACTTACTGGCGTTTGAAGTTGGACACAACGGCCCAAATGCTAAAACTTCAAGCCTCTGTTACTAGACAACCCGTTGGTCGTGAGTCAATCAAATTTGGCCAAAAATCTTAGTTGTGATAGGACTACAATTTGTGCAAATTTCAGCATAATCGTACAACTTTGAAAATTTGGGTGTATCACTTCATATGGAATGTCCCATATGTTTCATCTTTATCAATTTTTAGTGGAGTAAGGTTACTGCAAAAACCATTAAAAAAAATAAACATATCAACAATAGTATCTCATGGGTGATGTGAAAATCTATTGTCAAAATTCTAATGATGGTTTGGCGGAAAGTATGATCCCAGCGTATTTTTCATATGCGGACGCTTCTGAAAACAAAGCTGCCGCATGATCGGCGTTCAGCCGGGAGCGGTAGTAGGGGGAAAGTAGGCGCCAAAATCTGGCCGAAGTGAGTACTTATTGTAATAAAATATAAAAATCAATATTATCAAATAATATAAACATTAGATTAATTGTAAATATCTTAAAGAATAAATTTGTTAGCACATATGCATGCACAATAATATACATATACACAATAAAAAATAAATGATTATAAAACAAAATTTAAAATATTTAATATATATTATAATTTAACATATTATAATTAAAAATACTAAACAAAACAATTAACTATCACGTAAATAAAAATGTGAATTCTACTTTTTATTTGAAATTGACAGTATTACTGATTGACAGTATTAATATATATTAGGTGTAGTAAAAAGAAATCCATTATTTTTGCATGAAATTGAAGGCTTTAATTACCATAGTTAGAATGATCCGATTTAGGTCAAATATGCGCCGTTTTGTTCGATAACTTGTTGCCATTTGGAAGGTAATTTCATTATGCCTCTCTCATAGAAGCCCTCGTCCCTATTGGCAAAAAATTGAGACAGTCGATTCTCGCAAGCCTCTCTTGAATCGAATTTTTCACCACCAAAATTGTTCGCCATGGACAGAAACAGATGGTAATCACTTGGTGCCAGGTCCGGACTATAAGGTAGATGCATAAGAACCTCCCAACCAAGCTCCCGGAGCTTCTGGTGAGTCACTATCGATGTGTGTGGCCTGGCGTTGTCCTGATGGAACACAATTCCTCTCCTATTGGCCAAAGCTGGCCGCTTCTGGGCGATTGCTTCCTTCAGACGGTCCAATTGTTGACAGTACAGTTCCGAGTTAAGAGTTTTGCCGTAGGGGAGCAGCTCATAGTAGATAATTCCCTGCCAATCCCACCAAACATACAGCAAAACCTTCCTGGCCGTCAATCCTGGCTTAGCCACCGTTTCCGCCGGCTCACCGCGATTCGACCACGACCGTTTTCGCTTGACGTTGTCGTAAGTGATCCACTTTTCATCACCAGTGACCAACCGCTTCAGAAATGGGTCGATTTTGTTGCGATTCAGCAGCGATTCGCAGATGGAAATTCGGTCCATGAGGTTTTTTTTCGTTAACTCGTGTGGTACCCATACATCGAGCTTCTTTTTGTATCCAGCCTTATTCAAATGGTTCCAAACGGTTTTTTGTGCAATCTTTAGCTCTTGGGCAATCGAAACAGTGCTTACATGACGGTCGGACTCGACAATGTCCATGATTTTATCGATATTTTCGACAATTGGCCTTCCAGTGCGTGGTGCATCTTTGACATCGAAATTACCGGAACGGAATCGACGAAACCAAAATTGCGCGTGATTGGTTGTTACAGTATCAGGACCATAAACACTATTCACATTTTCAGCCGCCTGGCTTGCGTTTTCGCCTTTATCGAAGGAAAACTGTAAAATATAGCGTATTTTCTCTTTGCTAGTGTCCATCTTCGACGCGCGCTCAAACAAAACTGTGTCAACTAGTCACAAAACTGTCAGAAAAGTCTTTTTAGTACGAAATCTCATATTTCTAACGCCATCTAGTAGAACCCGATCGGACTTATATAACGCGAAATACAGATAACTAAAGCCATCTATTGGAAAAATAATGGATTTCTTTTTACTACACCTGATACATATCCAATTTTTCACCTCTAACACTTAAAAACTCGGTAAATATATGAACTCTTACTGCAAAAACCTATATTCTTCGCACATCACGAGCCTCGGACCCCATAACCCGAACTCAAAAACCTCTCACCCTAGATTCTCATGACTCAATATATCGTAAGTTCCATAGTCCTGAAATCTCTTCATTGCTGGAACGCCATGAGCCCTGAACCCCACGAACCAAATTAGGACTTCCTGATATCTCCAAAATGCCATCGATCCAAATTTCATCCTTGGATATTTACCGAGTTTTTAAGTTTTAGAAGTGAAAGATTGAAAACCTCAAAATTCATAGCGAGATTTTCCATCGTTTTCATGACTTATGCTCGTATCGGTTTATATTATGGTGCCGTCATCTTGCGACGCCAAAAATACCAGACGGCATCAAAAAATAGACATTTCAACGAAAATGTTGAGCCCTATAAAAGTAATTTATATCGAAAATTGAGATGCGCAGGGGAGTAGCTGATTTGACAGAATGCTCCATATATGTATACAGGGTATACACAAGTAAGTACTTTTTACCACAGGATTTAGCATTACCGACAACACTGTAGTTAATTGAGTCGCGTATAGATATTGCACGCATCTCAAAAATATAATGTTTCAAGAATATATTGTTACAATAGCGCCCTGACTTTTGTTAACTTACTGACTTTTGAAAATTTCAAAATCATCAAATTAACAAAAATCAGAATGCTATCGTAACGATATATTTTTGAGACCAAATAAAGCAAAAAAATCTAGTATTACTTTTTCTTCCGACAAATAGCGAAATATCATAAGTTAAATATTGAAAAAGTTATTAAGTTTTTCTTAAATATCTCAAAAAATATTAAGCAAATAAAAAATGTTTTAAACAAAAGTTTTTTAAATTAATTGGTAGAAAAAGGCGATGTAAAAAAAGTTGGGATTTCTATTTGAAAATTTCGAGTTGACCTTCAAATGACCTTGAAAATTGACCTTATGATCAAATTCAAGGGCATCATCAAGTTCATTGCTTAAAATACTGAAACTTTTGTCTAAGATATTTTTCTTGAAAACTTGATCCTTCAAAGTTATTCAGGTGTTCCGATACTTTTTCCTCACCCTGTATACAGAGTTCCATTTTAACTTTGACAGACAAAATTCTTGAAAAATATGAAAGATACTAAAAAACGTCTCAGACAAAAGTTGGATGGTTTCAAGGAAGACATAAAGCAACTATATCAGTTTGTTTACAGATAGCGCTATTTTCGAGATATTTATTGATCATTACTTTTCTTAAATGGAAACCCCAATTTTCTATTATATCATCTTTTTCTACCAATTAATTGAAACAACTTTTGTTTGCAACATTTTTTTATTTGCTTAATATTTTTTGAGATATTTAAAGAAAATTTGGTAACTTTTTCAAGATTTAGCTTACAATATCTTGGTAACTATTTGTCAGAAGAGAAAATGGTATTATTTTAATCTATTTTACTATACTTTATTCTATATGGTCTCAAAAATATACTGTTACAATAATGCCATAACTTTTGTTAACTTGACTTTGAAATTTCCAAAAGTCATTAAGTTAACAAAGGTTATGGCACTATTGTAACAATATATTCTTGAGGCGAAATAGAGTAAAATATAGTAGAGTAAAATAATACCATTTTCTCTTCTGACAAATAGTTACCAAGATATCATGGTATATGGAGATATTTAACATGGTAATGTATTATAAAAATGTAGTAAAATTAATGTTATATAAATCTTAAAATCTTTCCTGCTACAGATGTAATTTTTGTTTCCATTGTCATACTTTTATAATGCATTTCCACATTAAGTATCTATACCTTTTCATAGAGATCTTAGCTCAAGTAGCTGAGAAGTCAATCACCTGAACTTGTCTATAACATACATATACATGATACTATATACATGATATGTGCTATATCTATACATGACTCAATTAACTACAATGCTGCCGGTAATGCTAAATCGTGGTAAAAAATTGTATCAAACTTGTATATACCCTGTATATATGTATGTGTGTCTATGTACATATATATAGATATCTGTATATGTTCTTAAATCCAAATTAAATATAGAATTCGAATTTATATTCACATAGCTATATTTGTTTTGCTTGTTATTTTAATTCTTTTGTTTTATAACTTGTTTTCCTTTTATTTGATCTGTCTTTTCATTATTCTTACAAATACTTTCATAAGCAACTTTTTTAATTACCATTTATAAACAAATGAATTATTTAATTCATCATTTTGTATCTAACTTATATTTATAATACTATTTATTCCATAATTTCTTTAATGCAATCTTCCCAGCTACTTTTCTATGATTTTATATTATCAGACAAGTAATTATTGCTATCTTTGTCCTATCACAGTTAATTATATACAATTAACTATATATAGTTAGCTATATAGAATGTTAAAGAAATTGCCTATGAATTTGTAGCGAAGTAAATTGATCTCTAAGTTTGTGATATAATTACAAGCTATGTCCTCAGGAAAAATTACTTGAGATGTTCCAATTAACTTAAAGTTACTTATAGTTACCTAAAGTTACTTATAGTTAACTATAAATTACTTACAGTTAACTATAAGTAATTTGAAAATTTAAAGTAATTTTCCCTAAGGGTGATATTAACTAAAAAATTGCCATAGATTTAGAAGTTTTTTTTTTCATAATCATACTCATTTCAAATAAAAAGAATATATATGATCAGAAGCCTGCTCTCACCTTGCAATTTGCTGGCTTATTCTTTCTTGTATCATGTAATTGTAATTGTAATTACTAGTCACTTTGGAAATAGCATATATTCTCCTTTTTATCAAGTCAAACCAACAAGACCTCAATCACCAAAATCTCCATTGAATTTGACATTTGTGAATGCCGGAGTATGCATGAAATACAGAATATATATTTTTAAAAAATGAAAATTTACAATATTGAATTTAATCTTTTATCTGAATACTAACATTTTGTCGTTAATTTACTATGTATGATTTAAAATAAACCTGAAATATATGTAAGAGTATGTATATACATAGCTGGCGGTGTATTATACATATAATCTTAACCTCCAATACAAAGTTACAAATGCTATGTAGCTGCTATATATCTGCACATGTAGCTGCATATACCTCGGGGTAAGTTGAAGCCACGATGATCTATATTAATCACTATATTAAAATAAAAACATATAAAGTTAATATTTTCTAATCATACAAATTCTTTTCTATATTATTAACAGAAAGCTATCACTATGACAAACGTATTGTTTTGACAAGATAGTTCTATTTTGAATAATTAATAAGTAATAAGTCTCACAATATTACGTACACTTAAAAAATGTTAATTGTTACATGAAATATTAAAGCTATTAACTATACCTTGATTTCGAGAATATATCGCCAAGTTTTCATTTGGAACTTCTCTAACTTAGACTTGATTTTGCTTATACTCTAAACATTACGGTGGCAAATGCAGATCTCATAATCGGAGATTCACAATATGATACAACGATCCAACACATGTACTTTCTCTATTCTTAAATTAATCTTGTGTCTGCAATGTACGATACCGGAAATAAAGTTCTAGAAAAAATCGTGCCATGAAATTCCGGTCACAATAAGCCTGTTCGTTTTGTCTGCACTGCTGAACTGGTGCAACAAGTTGAAGTGAGAAAAACTATATTTGTCTTACTTTAACTTAACGCACCAGTTCAGCAGTGCAGACAAAACGAACAGGCCTAAACCTTAAACCCATTCTACAATAGCTGTACTGCCGGTTGCACACAGGATGTGTCACGTTCATTGCGCGGCGAAAGTTGACTAGGGAATATTGCAATAGCCATTCAGCATCTTGCTTGCTCGGAAATAGTTAAGCCAGTGTAACGTCCCACCATATTAAAATTCCCTATCTTCTCACCAAAACTCACCATACCTTTTCCTACCCAATCAAATCCTTACCTATCATCGACTAATCCAACTGCAACGCCTCCTACAAACACCTCTGCAATCAACAGGTACCTCTGCCGTCTTTTATCGTTAATATAATATAATATCATTAATACTCGAAACTATTTACTGAATCATCATCTATCTTCTTCTTTCTCTCTCTTCCTTCTACCGTCTTGCTTCGTTTAGTAAGCGATAGATTATCAAACAACTAAATAACACAAAAATAATCATAAATAGCATATTTTGAAATAAAATTAACATTAACATAGGACTGAAGCAGACATCGACATAGTAAATATATAAAATAGGAAAAGAGAGAATAAGAAAATTTAAGAAATAAATTTAGAGCTAGCTTATAAATTCATTTGTCTCGGGGACTAAGAACGATTTCGTTCGGGCACAGCCGCGCACATATTGGAATGTGTTTATGTTATAGATATCATCGAGTGATAGCTGTCCTACGTACTGCGAACTAAACAAAGACCTGAAACAAAAACTCGAAGAGGAAAATAATTCCCTTTCTTTCTTCTATTTTTCTTCTTTTTAAATGATATTAAATAATTGCCATCATATTTCGCAAATAATTCCTCAAATATTATTGTCAAACCGCCTATCCTAATGTATATGCGCTTTAGAATTGTAAGAGGATCTATTCGTATTATTTAACTTTAATGATTACTACGCCCGAATGAAATAATTCTTTTAAGTTTCCAAATTCTTATATTATATCAAAGGAAATCAATAACAACATTTCCATTTCTTAGTAAAACATAATTTTATTAATAAATCAGCCAACAACGAGACAACTGAATTACCAAACGCTACATATGATTAAGTATAATTTTAATTACTAGATAATAACATTTTTATATTTTTTAACCAATAAATAATGAAGGGTGAATTAGGAAAAGACGCTCAATTGATATCCATAGTGTCGGGCTTGGGTATAAAAAGGGCTCGGCCCTTCGCGCGCTAGTCAGTCTCTAGGCAGTCTCTCGTCAGTCTCTAACCAGTCTCTTATTAGCCTCCAACTAGCCATCAGACAATCTATCGCTGAGCCTCTTGTTAGCCGATTGCCAAGGGGTCTTGAGCCTGGAATCAAAAGGTCGGTATTAAAGATTATTGTTCTTGGGACTCCGTCTGCAAATGCTAAGACGTTTGTTAAGACGTAAAATCCAAATCATTAAAGGTCGAACGAGCCTCTTTTCTTCATAATGATATTATAGAGAAACATTTCTTTTACTTGAATAAGTATTGAGCCAGCTATTAACTACATTAAATTTAGTGTATGAATTTTTAAACTTAACAATATAGAGTAATTTCATAATATATATGTGTGTACAGATTTCTTTACCTCTCTTCCCTCTTATCATCTTCATTCTTTTTTTCCAGAACGCCGTGCTTGAACCACGAGCACCGTTCTTCTTTTCTTTACCTTAAGAGTGTTGTGCTTGAACAACGAACACCATTCCTTCCTTTTTCCCAGAACGCAGTGCTCGAACCACGAGCACCATTCGCCTTTTTATTCTTCAAACCACATCCCTTCCATCTACTCTATCATAGATATTGTTAAAATAAATATTACCTAAAAATCTCTCATGCCGAAAAGAACAAGAAGAGCCGGACGGCGGATTCAATTTAGACGTTTGTTGAAGAGTTATTATAATCCAGGTACGCTCGACCTGGCTGTTTTCAAAATAGATCCATCTAAATCTTCGGTCCCGAGAATAAAATCTGAAATAAAGGGAAATATATTTGAAGTTAAATTCAACACTAGCGAGAATACTATTATTTTTAAACCTAACAGTAACCCACCTCCAAAGGAAACAGATTCAAATAATAAGGATTTGGACAAGAATAGCGCTGATCCGAAGTAAACCAAACAAATCTAGACATTGCATGTTCTATGCTTGTCCAGGACGTAACACCAGCGGCACACGGTGCTTGTTTTCGTGCTGGATTGCTTGCTGGATGAAAATACTGCATTCTAATTGGTACATTTCCGAAGATGGATGGGAATGCACCAATCAGAACGCAGTATTTTCATCCAGCAAGCAATCCAGCACGAAAACAAGCATCGTGTGCCGCTAGCTTTAAGCCAGCGGCACACGATGCTTGTTTTCTTGCTGGATTGCTTGCGTGCTCCTATGTTGGCTACCTTGCTGGCTATCTTGCTGGAAATAGCTCTTCTGCTGGCTACACTGCTGGCTGCTCTGCTGGATTTTCATAATAGAACCAGTGCTATTTTTCTTGCGTGGTTCTGTGCTGGCCTTTGACTATATAACTATGGACTGCTAGCAATGACTTTGGGCATCTATAAACATCTGCAGCGCCGCCAGTGCCAAACACGGCCATTATTAGAACTATCATCGCACTTTTCATTCCTGTTTTACCATTAAAAAGATACTTATTTGCGATTATGAATTTATAAGGAAAGGAAAATATAAAGAACACATAAAATATGCTATATATAATAAAAATTGCATTAGTTATATAGTTTATGTTATGAAAATCTTTTTTATACAATAACAATTAGTATTTATATATAAATAAAAATAAAAATATATATGTTAAACATAGCATCACATAACATATATATGTTAAATATAACATAAATAAAAATAGAACTTTGTTATTAATGTAAAAAAAAACGTTACATTTTCCATATTTGTTAAGATATTACTGACCTTTGAATAAAATAATTTTTGTAAACTGATGTCTGATGTACTCAATATTTTGGCTCATTAATTTCCCTTCATAATTCATAAGAATCTGTATATAACATTCTATAATTAATTTAATTAAATAATATTTGTGATTTTCGAAAACGTCTAACTCATTAACGTGGTTGTTAAAATTTATAAATACCTTATCCATATCAATATTACGTATTGTTTATATAATTATTTCTTGGCATGCATTTTTCTTATACAAATTATTCTGTAATTTATAAAAATTAAAAACTTTATCAGCGGCAACAATGAGTTTATATGTATCTTCTCGTGGATAATGTAAATATCCACAGCTTTTTCTTTCTATGAATGTAGACTTTATAACTGTACATTCGTTAAAAAGATAAAGGCATGTTTCGCAAGTAATCTTTTTTAATAATTTAATAATTAAACTTCCTTAAACTACTTGACGACATGTTTGCCACTTTTTCAGTTGTAATATCTCCTGGATATCTTATTAAACATTTATCACTTGACGCCACAGTATTGGTTTTTGTTGAATATGTCATATCATCTTGTGTTTGTCCTTGATGAGAACCAATTGTTGATTCATCTTCCATCAATACTTCAGAAGATGCATTATTGTTTTCGTTACAGTGTATACTTTGTTATGCTATTAACAATTTTTTTTTATTTGTATAAAGTTTGTATGAAAGTGGTATTATTATAGTTTAAATGTATTAACAATTTTAGTAATATTACCTTAAATTAGAAACATGTGGAAATATAGATGGTACAGATCCTTCGTACAAACGTAATGATGACAATCCAGTTTTGTACATACAGGTTTCATTAAAATGTTCTTGACATACAGTGCTATTTGTTTTTATGGCCATATTTTTCAATGCTTTCACCCATTTTGTACGATGTTCCAGATTTTTTGGAAATCTAAAAATATTAATAAAGATTTAAACTATTTTAGTAATATATTTATTTCATATGATATTCTCATACATGTCTAAACACATGAAATTGTACAAACATTACTTTTAATTGCCGTATTATTATTGCAATCTCATGTGTTTATATGTATACACATATTATACGACACTGCTTTCTTACTTTATTTAAAAATTAACCATTTAATAAGTTATTGTTGTAATGTAACATGAGTGAGACTTATGCAAATAAAGCCACATGCTTTCCTGTCTTTTTCTCTTTATGAATAGAATTATTGCACTAATGGACAACACAGTATTTCATTTTTATTTATTATTTTCTTGTTCGTAATTGCCGTGTTATTATATATTTCATATGGTATAATATATAGCTACTAGATACGTCTACTTCGTTATTATTCGTTATGCTCAACGAGTTCCATCATTTGCCGTGTTTGGTACTGGCGGCGCTGCAGATGTTTGTAGACACTTATTGCGTGGAAAAGTAAGCTGCTAGCAGCCCATAGTTATATAGTCAAAGGTGCTAGCTCATTGTAGAGCCAATCAGGAGATTGCCTCATATCACGTGACTTAAGGTTTTCTATTCCTTTCAAAAATATCGTTGTCAAATAGAACAGAAGGAAGCATGACGTCCGCAATGTGCAATCCAACGTGCAAAACGAATATAAAAAAAGGATGGACAAACGAATAAATTTCTAGTTTAATAGAAGCCTACAAAGAGGAACCGCGTTTGTACGCGGTAAATACGCCAATTTATCACAATAAACATGCTAGAAATAAGGCGCTACAAAAAGTATGTGACTCCGTATCAATGTATAGACCGGGAACAACGGAAAACGAATGTGCAACAAAATTTCATAATTTGCGAAATCAATTTAACATTGAAAACTCTAAAGTAAAGGCATCAAAAAAATCAGGCATTGGCACTGACGACGTAGTATGAAAATCTAACCTCTTATAACCTAATTCCTAATGCCATATTACTATTAATTTCACTAAAATTTGTGTTTTGAAATATTTACAGATATACGTACCGACTCTCTGGTATTACAGTGATATGAAATACTTAGAGAGTTAAATAATGATAAATTTTATTTGTAAAAATTTGTTATTTTATTAAAAAATTTTTCGAAAGAAAGTTGCATGGCTTGAAGGATGACACAAGACGGAAATGTGGACTTGACCTTGAATGACCTTGTCAAAATCAGGCCAAGGTCATTAATGTTTTTTTAAATAGAAACTACAATTTTTTATTACATATTCTTGTAGCTTATCTCGAGAGCTTTCCAAAACACTCTAACAAAGTTACATTTCTTTGAGTACTTTCCGAATTATGAGGCTTGGAAGTTAAGGCAAGACCGATCACTGATCCGACCAATTAAGGCAAGATCGATTCGAATATGTCTGTAGCCGTTAATAAGTCTTGGCCTTAGAAGTACGAAATAAAACCTCCTTGCTTTTATTACAATAGCCTGTAAGTTAACAAATATTCTTCACACATACAGAGTATTATTATATTTTTATTGAATAGTGCACTGAACAACTATGACATTGTTCTGAGAGTTTTCTCATTTAGAACGATGAAACAAATATATTTTATGGATTTTTTTTCGCGCAGATAGAAAATTTCACGGATGTAATCGTTTTCGGAGATTATTTAATATTGTATGAAAAATATTTATTAACTTACAGGATATTGTAACAAAAGCAAAAAGGTTTCATTTCGTACTTCTTGATTCTGTTACGTCCTAGAGGAGGAGCGCAACCTTTTCGTTCGCGAGTAAGGCGAACCTCGTTCGTACACGCGTGTCAGTGAACGGGTCAGGGACCCGACGGTCCCTTTACTCGGACACCGACGTACGACGAGCGGTCTGGTTTTCGGTCAGGGACGCGAATCCTTTTACCGGGATAGGACCATGAGTTGATTGTTGGAAGGGTGGGTGTGATTTTGAAATCAATTGATGGAAATAAATTAATAGCAAATTTATTTAAATATAAGTGACAACGAAATCGTATACGGCGCGGTTTGAAGTATTACAATAAATAAGATTACGACGCGGTTTGAAGTATTACAATAAATAAGATTACGACGCGGTTTGAAATATTACAATAAATAAGATTACGGCGCGGTTTATTATAATCTGCTTAAGTGATGGTGTGTATGTATATGTGTATGTGCGGGTAATCCGGGTAGAAGAGGGAAGGAAAAGATAGAGAGATTAATATAGGAAAACTAGTCAAGTGAGGGGGGACGAGAGAGGTTTGACGAATTTAGAGGAGTGGATAGTTTGGAAAAAGAGACAGGAGAATAAGATATTGGAGGGGTGGAAGGAGTGGATGCACGTGGGGGAGAAGAGGTAGGAGTATCAGGGGATAAATATTGAGAAAATAGGAAAGGAGGTAGGATTGTCGGGTCTGGATGGAAATCTATATCTAATCTGATGCTAATTATGTTTCTGATATACCATAATTGTTGGCCAAAATTGTATGGGTCTGTTATCTAGTCAAAGAGGTGGAGGACCCAATGGATGGTTACTAGTGAATGATAGTAATGGCCCACTAAAACCGTAGTTTCACAAGGATAGAATTAGTAAGAATGGAGGTAAGGAGGGTAGAATAGTAAATAAAATTACTTACTGCTGATTCACGCAAGGAAAGGAGTGGTTGAAATAGTCTGTGTGGGGTCCCAATTTTTGGTTGTCCACTCCCAACTGGCAGCTGCTTCTCTTTTTTTTTTGTTTTTGGAAGGTTGGCGAGACCCCACTAAGGATAGTATTCGTAGAACACTGTGCACTTGCCACACTTGAGTCACGGGTTATCAAAATCTGAATTGAGTCTAGACCTGAGTCCGAATCTGAGTACGACTTTTTCGTATGTTTTTCTGTTCGCGGATTACCGCGGTTTTATATCAATGATCGGAGGTAGATACTATCAGGGTGGGTAGAGAGATGACCCTTTGAGGGAGGGGTGAAGCCCTAAGAACCCAATGAAGTTAAAGATTTTGTTACTAATTTTTATTATTGGTCCTGGTTGATAGTAGTGGGAAAAAGTCTTAGTCATTAGCGAAGTTAAAAGACATCGTGGGAGGAGACGGTTAGTTTTTGGAGATATGAATATGAAAGGGCTAAAGGGTGGAGCGTGGGTGTCTCATAGTTTTAGGTGGATATGATATGATTGGCTGAATGGATTAGGCGCGACAAGCGTGGAGGTGGTGGATGCTCGAGATAGAGAAATGTATACAAGTGGCCGGCTGGAAAAATCAAAATGCCGTAAATCAGGGGTTGAGATAAGAGTTTATAACCATCGGTGAAGTAGGCTTTGTTGGTTGACTGATAGGGCACATATGGTTTTCGATTGGGAAGATGTATAAGTTTCAAGTTTTAGAGCAGGGATGCTCTGAGTTGTTTTGTTTTACTGAAGGTTTGTTAGCGCGGAGTTTCAAATTTTTATAGCTAGGACGACGGACATACTTGGCGAACACTACCCAGATATAAACTTTAAACGAAGACGTAGATTTTTATAACAGGGCACTGTTTCCTGTTATGGAATTTTCCCGAATCGCCTTTCATTTGGCGCGACGGCTGTTCGCCAGATGGGTCTGTTTCCTAATTTATATTTATATATGTATATATTCCTATTATAGTTATATTAGGAGAATATAAATCCGCGAGAGGAAAAGACAATTTTGTTAGTTAAATCTGCAGGACGTTCCAATTCTGTTACAATATTCTTTTATATTTCATATTACATCCTTGTATAACTTAAAATTATTCTTAAAATATTATTAAACAATCCAATAATCAAACCTGTGAACTTGCCCGACTCCGCAAAATAATTAATAAAATATATTTCATTTTCTTGGCGCCGAATATTATTAATACTATTACAAATAATATTACAAATGATATAAATTTTTACAAATAATAAAATTTGTAAAAATTTGTATTATTTGTAACATTATTATACAATTACAAATAAAATTACAAATAATAATATTACAAATAATATATATTACAAATAATAATATTATTAATAATAAAATATTATTTGTAATAATTTCGGTGCGCCGAGTAGACAAAACTTTCAGTATTCTCATAGAGAGTAAAGGAGAGAGAGAGAGAGAGAGAGAGAGAGAGAGAGAGAGAGAGAGAGAGAGAGACACAGTCGCGCCCGCGATTCAGATTATGGGCAAGAAAGAATTAAGCCAGCGGCACACGATGCTTGTTTTCATGCTGGATTGCTTCCTAGATGAAAATATTGCGTTGTGATTGGTATATTTTTGGAGATGGATGGAAATACACCAATCAGAACGCAGTATTTTCATCCAGCAAGCAATCCAGCACGGAAACAAGCATCGCATGCCGCTGGCTTAAGGCTCGCTGAGCGAGAACGAGAGCGACAAGGAGGGAATGATATTCTCTCTTTCTCTCTCGCTCGCTCGGCGCGTCGACAATTGCCGATCACGTGGCTCACACGGATTGACCGAGTTGGCTGTGTGCGTGCATGGGGGGGGGAAGGGGGAGAATCCTCGTGCAAGCCCGTCACCAAATTCGCATCACTGATACCAATGATGTCAAAACCGAACAAGCTGCGGACAAGCGTAACTTGTAAATATCGGAGATCAACTGTTTATCAGCTCATAGACAATTAATATGACGAGATACCCGCGGAGACCCATGTACACTCAGAGGCAGGTATGGTGTCCCTCGGCGATATCGTATACGCCTGTAAAACAATCGAAACCGATGACAGGCATATACGCATACGCATATGGGCGTACTGTACAGCGCGAGAGAAGCGAAGAGGGAGAAGTGGTGGGAGACGTTCCGATGTTGCATCCTTATCGCACGTCGTATGAACGAGAGAGAAAGCATTACCAGACGTGGTACGGTTAATGGTGTCCCCAATAGCTGTCTCACTCTCTCTCTACGCTTGAATGCAGTGAGACAGCTATAGAGACGCCGCGCTGTCTCTATAGGTGTCTCGCTCGCTCTAATAGCCATGTATCGCGCTTTCCTCTTTTCTCCTTAGCAGAAATGCCGATTAAAGAGGGAATCCTGTAGGCCAGAAAAATAAGCTATTTTCACGAATTTTTTTTTCGGAAACTAAGCAGACGATTGATTTCAAACTTGATAGAAATAATAATATATATTTTATTGATAAGAATGAATTTTTATAGCGTTATATGAATAATAATAATGTAGCAAATACACAAAAAATAACGTGACGTGTTTATACGCGCGCCGTTTCACGGTTTCTATAAAATCTCGAAATACGGTGGACTGGGACAGAAACGCAAGATAA